AAAAAAAACAAAAAAACAAAGCAAGACTGTCCAAGCCATCTTTTTCCTGGGACTCAAGGTCTGTCTGGGGCCACAGAGAAGAGGGTTCTGCCTTCTGTAGGCACGAGCTGGAGAAGACTACACTGGAATGTGCCATGTGCACCGCCCCAGCCAGGAAGCGCGAGAGTGACCATCAGTGCCGAGGTGGCTCTAAATGTCTCCAACCCCATTATGTGGCCCTTCAGAGTCATTCGGAAACTTAGCCCTTAGAGAGGGTAAGTGCCTATTCACCTGTTTAATTTTGTCACGGTCCTGATCTGGTGTAGCTGTTGAGTTGATCCTCAAACTCTTCTTGAACATGGCCATTCGGGTCTTGGCTTCACTGCGCTGAATCTTGGGCAGTCTTGCTCTTTCTTGAGTCTGTCGGTTTTTCAGTTCCTCAATGAGCCGTTGATTGTAACGCAGCATTTGCTCAGTTTCCTAGGAACACATAAAACACTATCCAGTTGTGTGGATGTAATTTAACACTCAGTGCCCGCACATACGTTCACACGTATGTCCCACAGATACCTGCTCCCTTATCACAGTGACTAGCAGAATACTAGGAAAAAACTAATTTTAAGAAAAGTAATTAGTGATGAGTCTTATACAGAGAACCCACATTTTGAAGGTACTTGAGCCAGAAGTGGAGCTAAAACAGCTACCTCTGAGATGAAGATTACAGTATCATGGCGGCCAACCTATGGTGTGTGAGCCGTGGCTGCCCACTACTAAAAGGTTCACCGTCACTGATGTAGGACTTCACTATAATCAATTACCTTCCTTGTAAGTCGTAGAAAAGAAGTTCGCAGTCACGACCAAGATACAACTACTTAACTCTAAATTTCATCAAAGAAATTTTAGGACAAAAGACAGGCAATTTTAAAAATTTATCCTCAAGAAACATAAAAACTATGTTTGTAAACTTTACAATGAACCAAAAAATTAAGAAAAATTTGCTTTAACCTTTTCATGGCGCTTAAGAAGCTGATGTCTCTGCATAAAATATTGGTCTTTAAGTTGCTGTTTGAGCAGCTGGTGCTTTTCTTGTAAATGTCTTTCTTCAAGCTCCCAAACTGCAGCTTCTCGAGCTAGAATGAAATAATTTTCAAAATGTCACTTGGCTCTTTTTACTACTGTACTCTCTCTTCACTTTAGTATTTACCTAAGTGCTCAATATGTATTACCTTGCACACCTAAATTGATATTCTGAGCTATACATAAAATGTTACCAACATGAAAGTACCTATTATCACTTTCCATTCTAGTTTAACATCTTGTAAACAGGACTATCCTACCGGGAACATGACAATCCCATTTTGTACTGTAAAAAGAAAAAACCCACAGCTAATTTGTAGAGGAATAAATACTTAAAGTTCCACTCCATCGTGCAGATATGCAGCATGCCAAATTATAATTGCAAAGCGATTCAGACACATTTCTACCATCACCTGGACAGGAGCATGACTTAAGGTGGGGTCATTAGGGGGTTCTGTATAATGGTGCTAAGAATCAGCCATGGCCTTGTGCATGTTCAGTGCCTGACCTACCACTGAGCCACACTGCAGCCTGTTTTAAATCTATGTTTATATTCACTTCTATTGTCATCAAGGAATTCTGTATGTTGCAGTTCCTTAATTTTAGAAATTTTTTTCTTATTTACACAACTTTCCTTATCTTTTCCTTTACCACTCTGGCAAAGGAAAGCATTCTGATAATTTCCAAGATGCGTTTCAGAGATGCGCCTCTGTGTGTACACACGTGCCAGGGAACCCATGTACCTCTCATGAGCTGCTGCTTGTTGTTCAGGCACTCCCTCTCAATGTTGGCCAACTCTGCCTTCTGTTGCTGGATGATCTTCTTAAGAGAGCCATCTAATTCTTGTTGCTGCTTCTGAACAAAATCTTGTTCCTAGTAGATACAGTTAACCACCAGTTAGTAAATATCTACTGAGCTAAGCATCTGTTTACATACATGACCACAGATATTAACACTTAGTAAGACTGACTGACTGACTTTGTGGTGCTGGGATCAAGCTCTAGGCATCACACATGCCAGGCAAGCGTTCCGCTACGGTGCTCAATCACCGCTGGTTAACAAGATTTCTAAAGCAAGTTTACAAAGTTAGCTGGATTTTAAAATCACTGAAACTATATAGTATATACATAATATAAACATATTAGTCATCCAATTCGACTTGAGTAAAAAACCTTTACAATACAAAATATTCTGAGTTCACTATTAAGAATGATACACACAAAAATGTTTATAACCCATTCATAACTAAAACGCCCTAGGACATTAGCTGCTTTGAGAAAACAATAAATGTACAACTTATAAAATTATTCATTCCACTACTGTGTGACTAGTACAAGACTAAATAGGAAATGCCTCTTAGGAAGAACAGTGATAATGAGCTCATAGGCAAAGAAAACCTCAGAATTTTACACTCTGTTTCTCTAAGTTATAAAGAGTAAGGTAAAAATGCCATGACTGCACTAACAGAGGAAGAGAGACTCTCTACAGCCTGTGCCTGAAAGAACAACGTTTGAGGATTCAATTGAAAGTATTATACGGCCACACAAATGAAAACTAGAACTACTGGGAACATTGTAAGTTCGCAAACAAGACTCCTATAGTCATGAAACTCTACCAACAAGTTTGGAATTTATGAGTTCATGTAACAAAAACTGAGTGCATACAACTTGCCAAATTTATGCATGCCATTAAGCATAACTGCATTTATTTGGATCTCCCTCTCTTTCTTGGCAGTGCTAACAGCTGACTAGCTCAAGAAATCTGCAGATCAATTCAACTGCAGATTTAATTGAGACTGAAGCAGCACATCACCTCTAAAGATCAAACCCCAAAATCCATTTTGGAACTATCTGTCCTTGGGCAGAGTCTGAGGAGGTCTTGATGAAGACTAGCCTGGTTCTCAGGGCACCTGAGGCCTAACAGGTTCTCAAGAGCTTTGTCTTGTGACAGTGTCTCTGGGTAGAGTCAAGGCCTGGGATTTAGCTCAGTGACACTGCGTCTGCCTCACAAGTGCAAGTTAGATCCCTGGTACCAAAAAGAAAAAAAAACAACAAAAAAACCCATATCGTAGAGTCATCAATATTCCTCTTTCATCTGCATCACAATTTGCACTGTACAAATATATAGTAGCAGAAAGCACAGACTAATTGCCTCTACAAAGTATGCTTACTGACTGGGCTATAGTTACCTAGTATATAACTTTATCACAGTCAAAAAATTTTAAAGAATATTTAAATTCAAATATTAGTATAGACTTTTTAAGTTTTATTCAACAGATACAAAATCTCCATGCCTATGTTTTAAGAGTGGTTTTTCTATAAAATGGAGCACTACTCAGCCATAAAGAATGAGAAACTAGAGTCATTTATAGCTAAATGGATGCACATGGAGGCCACACTCTTAAGTGAAATAAAAAGGACACACAAGTGTAAATACCAAATAGTTTCTCTGGTATAAAAAACTAAAAATGTAAATAAGGATTCAAAATGTATAACTGACAATGTGAAATAGGAAAAAAGGGGTTAAAAAAGTAAGGGAAGTGAGAAGGGTAGGGGAAAGGAAAGAAGGGAAAAGAAAAAATATGAGAAAAGGGGAAAATGGAAACAAAGTCTTTGTAAAGAGGGAAGGGTGGAGGGGGTGAAGGGAGGGTAGGGGTATGGGGAAAAAATAAAAACCAAGATACATCATGTAAAGGTACAAGATCTTAATGATGAATGTAATTGTACTGTACACCTAAAAAGTACCAATAAACTTAATGAAAAAAAAAAAGGAGTTATAACAAAGAATGTTGTTCAAGCCTCTTTTTCTGAATGTGTATCTGTGTTTGTTTATTTATTTACTTGAGACAGGGTCTTCCTGTGTAATTCAGGCTGGCCTAGAACTCACTGTGTAGCCCAGGCTGGCCTCAAACTCCCAGTGATCCTCCTGCCTCAGCCTCCCGCGTGCTGGTTCATAGGTGTGTGCCACCAACCTGACTTATAGTAAATATTTATAATAAAAATTAAATTGTTTCCCTAATTTCAATTATAAAATTTCTATATCCAAACTTGTTTAATAAACATAACCTACAGATATAGTAAAAAGTTTCTTTTGATCAACATTTTAATCACTGGTTTGCATAAAGAATTTTTAAAAAATATCTTCATGAATAAAAACAGTGGGTCTAACTAGTAGATAACCTTATATTTAGACTCAAAGAAATCAAATGTGAAAGTACAGAATGAAGTCAATAAATATGTGAAAATAAAAGGTAAATATAAATCACTCTACTAAAGTCAATGTAATTTCCTATCTATGTAAATTTTGGTCATATTATCATAATATATCATGTGTCCATTACCCACGGTAAGAGTTTAATTCAAAGAAATCCTTCACTAAGCACTCATTAAATGCTGGGCACTATACTAGTTACAGGGCTAACAAAATAAATAAAAAGTTTTGCCTTCGGGGACTCCCATTCTGCTGACCCCCAGCACCAATGGTCTTGAACTGTCAGTCTCTTCCCTTACCATCACCACCCTTCGACAGCTCAGAAGCAAACCACAGAAAACGCAAAGCTCAGGTGAAGGGCCCAGAAACCACGCCTCACAATGAGGAGAGAAAGGACTACAGAAGTGTGCCCCAAAGCAGCTAATACTCAGGGTGAAGAAGGGCTCGACGGCAGCACAGGAGCAGGTAGAACTATAGTGCTGCGTTGCTCTAGGAAATAAAATAAGGAGCGACAGGTAAAAGTCAAGGTAGGCAGATTCTTTTGAGGCAGGGCCTCATTATATAGTTCGCTCTGGCCTTAAACTCACGGCCATCCTCCTACCTTAGCCTCCTGAGTGCTGGGATTACAGGTGTGCACAAGGTAGGCAGCTATAAAACCAATGTGCTCAAGTGATTCCTAACAGTTGGAGTCTGCAAAGAACCCGGCTGCCTCCCAGTTAAATAAGCAAGCAAAGAATAACAACATAGGGATACAAAGAATCTTTTATATTAAAGATAAAACTATCTGATAAGGTCCCTTACACACAAATTAATATATTCAATTACCTTAAAAGATGAAATTTTAGTATTATTGTATACTCCTTAAATTTTCTAACTTCAAAAGCAAAGTATAATACATTCATAATGGAATCTGTAACTAGAAATTACTTTTAAGAACCAAGAGAAATCTTACATTACAAAAAGATCATACCAAATATATTTACCTTAAAAAAAAAGATTGGCTTAATCACTAGAAATTACATAATAGACAATAACAATAAGAAAACCAGAAAGGCCAAAAGTTTTTTTAAAATGGTCATATGAATTGTAATGTAAAAAGAGTGCCCTCTACAAGTACAAATTTAAATTCTGATAAGGAATTTTATTTTATTAATTAAATAACTATAAGCATCAAAATTACAACTTTGGATTCTAGAAAACTATGATATACTTGGCTATTTATACAGAAGTTGATCATTTTAACTCAAAAGATTTACTTTAAAATGGTAATGATCAGAAAAGTGATTGTACTTCATAATTTCTCCCTTCTGTTTAAAAGAATCTATATTTTGCTAACTTATTTAGAAGACTGTAAAAAGAGTGAAACATCTGCCAATAATTTTTTTCAAATCTAATTTTGCAAGAGGGAGAAAAGGAGGAGTTGAAATCAAAGCTGTATTCTATCTACTCCAGTTATGTAGCAAACATCACAAACAAAAATCATAAATAAGCTAGTCTTCCCTACAGCAACTGTGAGAAAGAATACAGCCTGGGATTATAGACTAGTTAAAACTACAGCAACAAGAATTGCAACTCACTATTCATTACTGACAAGTGAATAAATGGGAACTAGAGACAAAAATCATATTTTATCATGGCTTTTCTGACCATATCCATAATTAAAACGTCTACGTACACATAAGCAATCAACACTTCACACAAAGATAAAAATCTAATCACAGCATTCCATTTCTCACATGTGCAAAACTTATAAAATATTATTGGGAAGATATTTTACTTTTCTTTTAAAAAATGAAAATCTCAAATTAAAATTTGTGATGGAGTAGATTTAAGAACACTATTTTGAGTGTTCTAGTTCCAGCTCTACCATTAATCACACAAGTGGCTTTCAACAGATGACTCAAGTCTTCTGTGTCTTGCTTTCTTTGTCTGTAAAATGGGTATATCCCATTCCTGTATTAGGATGGTGGCAAAGAGAATCAGATATAAAAACTTTTTAAAGGACACTGTACCATAAAGTTCATGGCAGGGTACTAACAGTACCATCACTGCTGACACAATCACCTATTAATTCTGTAGACTTTAGCAAATGAAGGCAACAATGAAAAGGCACATGTGAGTCACAGGAAGAGCAGGTAGGACAGAAGGCATCCTCCCACAAGTACTTGGGACTTACGTCCTGCATTTGGGCGTTGAAGACTGCACAGGATGACAACTGAAAAGACTGAATCATGACCTGAGCAACACCCTGTGGATCAGAATACAGTGCACCTTCCAGGTGAGAATATATCTGAATGATTTTCTGTAAGTTTCAGGAATAATTACACAGATGCTTAGTTTCTGGAAGCCCAGGTCAAGTCAATTCAATGACCAGAGGGCCTCTTTCTTATCTGTAGAATGAAAGATTTGAACTCCATCAGTGGTTTCTAATCTCTACTGTGTTGCTAAGTTTAGAACACTCGACAGCTGAACCTCCTTTTTAAAAGCTCACCAAAAAGCTCTGTTTAAAAAACAAAAAACTAGGGCCGAGGATTTAGTTCAGTGGCACTGTGCCTGCCTTGCAAGCATAAGGTCCTGAGTTCAATCCCACATACCAAATAGAAAAAATAAATTAAAAAACAAAAACCAGTGCTGCTTTAGTTAAAGTAGAAGCAGGAGCTCCCAGACCCCACAGTCCTGGCCCACTAAAAAGCTCCTGGAAGAATAATCTGAAAACCACTGGACTAAGTGTCAAATACATTCTAGCTCTACAACTACATAGCTATTATAAATGAATTCTCAAAAAAAAAAAAAAACCTTTCAACTGTAAAGTTATCAAGTTTTGGTGACTTCATCAAAGGGGTAAACAAATACTTTTGAAATCTGTTAAGATTCTAAACTTTCCATTAAATTTACAGGAAAAGCTTATTACCGATTTCAGTTTTAGTTGGAAAAATGTAGGCTAGCCCCAAAATTATTTGAAAAATCATCAACAAAGACTTATCAAAGCACTGGGTCACCAAATTCATGCAACACTGAATTCTCAATCTCAACTCTCAAGTCTGATAAAGAAGCCTGTATTTCTCTGTAAGGCAAGACTCTATTGTTAGTCATTATCCTGTCTGGGAGCCACTTAACCTGAATGAAGCAGGAGTGTGGTGAGCAAGTGTGCTCTGCACTTGTGCTTGGGGACCCCGAGCCCGCATCCGCCTGAGCGTAGTTCTCTCCTCTGAAATGGAGCTGCGCTGCAAGGAGTGTGAGCACGGGAGCTTCAGCAGCACTCGGCAGAAAGCAAACGCTGTGCTCACAACTGTCACCTTCAACTAGCCACCCTACGGCAGGCCCAGGCCAAATGCTAATTTCATTCAAATAAGCTAGCTTTACTGAATTTTAAATTCTAAGATTATAATTTCCTTATTTTTCATAGAATATCCTCTCCTCTGAAATGACAGTGACAAATAAATGGCAGTTTTAAAAATAACTTATTTGACAAAAAAGGCTATGGCAATCTATATGCTGATCCCTAGTGGTTTTTGTTATTTCTACATTTCCTCTACAGGACTATAAAGTCCTGAAGTTTGGAACCACTTTTTAAAATCACATAAAATCACATTAAAAGAATAATTCAAAGCAATAATTAATATATACTTCATTCTCTTCTTTCTTTTATTGACATTTTAAACTAATCATTCAGCTCATTTCTCTCTTTGCCTCCCAAGATGAATACAAACTTAATTAAAGCATTCACCTTTTTAAGTATAAAAGACCTTGTAAAGTCATGTGTAGAAATTCTGTTAAAAAATATGAATTTACTTTTGTAAGACACTCATCTTATGACAAAACCTTACCATAACCTAAAATCAAGTGTCTTTAACTCCATATAAGTAAAAACAGTCTACTCACTGAATTGCTGGATTCTGAATCAAAAAGAATAACAATATACTTAATATTTAAAATCTGATTTTATTGCTTTTTGAAAAACAGTCTTCATATATAGTCCTGGCAGGACTTGAACTCATGGTGATTCTCCTGCCTCAGCCTCCCGGGTGATGAGATCACAGGCATATGCCATCATGCCCAGCTAAAATATGATTTGAAAGTTGCTTATGTCACTAAGCTTGAAAGTAATATTTAATCTACCATTTAACATTTTTCTTCTAGTTTCAAACTTTAGAGAAATGCCAGCATTTTAATAGTCATTCTTTTTCTAAGCACAACTTTTATATACTCACTCTCTACTTTCTATCCTAAAATTTTTCTATTAAAACTAGCGTTAACACTTTAAAAATACAACTTCTATCATCATTAAAATTAGTTAACAGTAGGTTTTATATTAACATTTGTTTCCTTCATCTGGAGTCAACTTCCTAAACCATCCACTCACTTTCATATTAGCAACTTAAACATCACCAGTAGTGTAAATTCAGCACTAAAAGAAAGATCCTGGGAATCTCAGGATGGGGAAAAATTCATCATATAATAAAAAAAATCCACCCTTTCAGCCAGGTTTATTGAGCCGTGAGACAATGTTGCTCTGTTTTTAGTAGCATTAAGCTGCTGCTGTTACCTGAACATGCTGGCTTTGTGCAAGCTCCTCTTTCCTGCGTTTCATGAGCTCTTTTCTCAGATCTTTGGGTGCTTTCTCCACTTCATTTAAAACCTACAGTGTATAAGCATGCAGGAAGTGGGGAAATAATGCTTTCTCCACAGCAAGCATTTATGTGAGCAGACAAGCTACAAGTCAAGTATTAGAGTTGTTAATAAAAGTTCCTTTCAACATGCATTAGCGTGGTAGTTGGTGAAAAAGAATAAAAGGACAGAGCATGCTTAATTTCAGAGCAGAAAGTGACACCATGCACATAAAGGTTAATTAGTTGCTTAATTGACTCTACGCATTTTCTCTTAAAGAGACAAAGGCAATCAGTTAAGGGTTATTTGCAGCACTAACACTGAACTAGAGGTGATAAACTCAACTGGCCTTGAAAGATCATAAAATTATACTGACATTGTTTGAAACAGCGAACATAAGAAAAGCTAATGCCATTTATAAAAGTGCAAACTTTTATAACTGGCTTGATAATACCAAAGAAATAATTCTACATGAAATCCACTTAATGAGACAGGAAAAAAAGAAAAAAGAAAAAAGGAAAGGAAGTCTTAGAATTTGCAAAGAAGAAACAAATGGGTACTAAATTTTTCCATAAAACACACCTTTTTATAGTGTGATAAAAATGAACATGTCTGATGACTTTTGGGGGGATGAAAATAACATTCTCCTTTGCTGACAATAAAGCCATGCTTGTCAACTTTCAAGTCAGCAGAATAAACACTTTAAAGTTTAATAAACTGATTTATTATGCCAGATAAAGTTCCTTCTTTTAATCATTTCAAAATCCTAGCTATGAAATCCATCTACAATAGATCTATAATCCAACTATGGAAAACAATCATGTGTTTACAAGTAGAAGCACCAAAAGAAACCAGATTCCAAATCACCACATGCCATCGATGGTCAGAAAGACTGATTCCGATTTAACATAGTGTATTTAAAATTTCCCATCAGTAATCTCTCATGAAGCCAAATCACCAATAAAAGAAGGAGACTCCCCAAATGCAAGAAGTTTAGCAATAAAGAAAAAATACACAATTACTTAAAATACACATAACATGATATCAAACATGTTCTCTAAGTAAAACTCTCCTATCTCAAAACAGTAACAATGACTAGAAACATCTATTTAGAATTAAGTCATATATTAAAATGTAAAAATCTTTTAATTTAATCTGATACAAAAAATAATCCCTTAATAAAAACTACTCATGATTTTCAGAAAATTAACAAATATCCCCATAATGGTATACAGATTTGATTATATACAAAACATAATAAGTGGTAACAATGTTAATTTTTAGAAACAGACATATCAAATAAAATTACATAAAAACACTGTGTTTACTAACATTCAAGTCTATCCTATTTAAAGCACACCATTAAAATTTAGCAGAGGGAGGGAGGTTGTGCAGGTGTAAAGGACAGGAGGTACAAGGAATTTTATATACTTTCCACTTTTTTCTTCAGAACTTAAATGTTAAAAGTCAATAAATCTGGGTATTCAAGATATGTAGCAAAAGTGAAAATGTATCAATAGTTTGGTTGAGATTTTTTGTTCCAATCCTAATAGAGTTATTTACAAATATTTCCCTGGGTTCTTTTGCAGTAATAGAAGGTAAATCCTCCTTCTATGCTAAAGACAGGGAGTAAATCATAAAGTCATCTCTGAAAATTTCTTAGATGTAAAGTTCTCATAATTTTAATTCAGGGATAAAAAGACACAATAATAAACGGAAATACTCCTTATGAATCAATGATAATATTTTATAGAAAATATTACTGCAAATAAATTCTATAACAGTTTGGAACTTTAGAAAAATAAAAAACATTCTAATGAATGATTTACAGAAATTTTCCACTTTTAATTCTTCAAAGTATCCCTCAATTTCTAAAGCTTATAGATATTATTTCAAATTTCAAGTTACTCAATAGTTTTTGGTTTGCACAATGTCCAAGAAAATTAATAAAGCTAATCGAAAAAATGTGCTAAAAATATGAATTAAAGATGACAAATATAAAAATAAATTGGACCAGGGATTTGGCTCAATGGCTCTGCACCTACCTTTTAAGTACAAAGTCCAGAGTTTGATCCCCAGTAC